ACGCTAACTTTGGCCAGTGTTTGTGACCAAATGGCTACTAAAAAAGACTGGACATACCCCATTTGCAATACCTTGGGTTGTCTACTATTGCAAATGGTATGCCATTATGGGTGTAAATTTCATTACCGGGCTACTATACAGTCTCAAAGGCAACGTAACCAATCTGGCAAATTTCAATTTCAAATGTAACGTGCTATATTTGACCCTGTAACTTCCCAAAGCGCCATAAAACCTGTACATAGGGGGTACTGTCTTACACGTGAGACTTTACTGAATATAAATATGTGTATTTTATTGCAGTAAAAGCAAACAGTATTATGACACTGACCGTTAAAATGTCACGTAGAACTAAAAAAATCCCCAAAAAACTTATTTTCTCCCATTTTTTTCATATTAAATTATGTTTCATAGCTAAATATTTGATATTAAATGAAAGCCCTGTTTCCCCTGAATAAAATGATATATAATAAGGGTGGGTACATTTACTATGAAAGAGGTGTATTACGGTTGGACAGACATGTAGCGCAAATGCCAGGTTTTGTTTACATTTTGTTTTGTTCACAATGTGTACATTTGGCTCCGTCCTTAAGGGGTTAAACATGTTTTTTACTCTGTAATACACAGAAAAACAACAACAATACAGTAATGATATATAATTTACCTTCATCACAATATGTTTTTGAGTCACGAGTATACATGGTGTGACATTCTCACCAAATTGTGAGGATACCAATTCTTTAATTTAAATTGGCTTATTGATGAGCACAAAACATTCGTGTTATCAGCATGAATAAAGCAAGTGAAAAACCCCCTCAAATTTTCTAGTTTTCTTGTCTAATATGCATCAAAAGCAAACTAGTAACAAAAATCTGAAAATGCATCTGATTTCTCACTCTCCCACCCACTCACAGAACCTCATCGGTTTCAGAACTCCATCCAAACTGAAATTTACCATAGACACAAGACCTTAAAAACAGACAGAGCCCCTTTCTCTTATGGAATTCACATTCATCCTCAATCCTCATATCTTGATCTGTTATGATACTTAATAGCTTTCCCTAGAAAGACAGTAAGAAGTTGGCTCTGATGCCATATTTTACAAGGTCATTCAAATTGAAAACATGTACTGTAACATCTCAAGGTTCTGATACACACAGATTTTTCTCCTAATGTTTATAATATTCATCCTCATCCAAAGTACCTCCATTGATGCAAGGCTCACTTGATATCCATCTTATCATCCAGCAAAATTATCTAAATACATAAATCTTCCTCTGACTCATTTTTTATGCTCCTCAATGAAGTGTGAGTGCATGACACCTTGTTCATGCCAGGATTCCATGTTCTCCAATCATTGAAACTCTTGGATAAAATTCACCAAATTACAAAGATAAACAGTCCTATTACCCCAGTGAGTAAGTGGCTTTCTGATAGAAAACACTACACATTGCAGAGAATCACCAAGGAAGTAATTCACAGTGTTTTGCGTTTAAGCTTACTACTACAGACTTAAGATATCCCTATGGGTGTTATTCAGATACATTATAACTTGTTTAATTGATTTAAACAATATTATTACATATTTAATACAATTCTTAATTATTACTAGGCAGCATGGTATGTGACTTTTTTCAAGTGTCTCATGTAAAGAGCTAATTACTTTTTTATTGTCATCAGTATCTTGGTAGGGTGATATTATTAAACTGGCATATTCTAGCTCTGGTGTTTAATTGATACAGACAAATTTGGTTAAATGCAATTTTTCATGTATAGAATAATAATGATATGATACAAGAGCACTTATTTCCTCCTTCTACTTCTACACCAATAAGCTTGTGAGGTGACAAAAAGAGAAAAGAAAGAGATACCCTCGCTAGGCTGAAATGGATCTTACAGTAGCAGGAATACAAAGTTGTATTCCTTACACTATAGTTCCCTCTGTCCCTCACTCCCCCCCACCACCCTCGCTCGCCACCTTCGGCACAGAAAGGTGAAAAAGCACCCCATCTTTATTGAGGTTACCCACAGCAAATGGAACACTGTTTTTTAACCTAACAAACAACTTGAACCGGATAAAGACCTACTGTTATGTGGAAACGTTGTTCAGCTTATTGTGAAGGCCTCAATACATCTGGAGAGCTTTATCACCTATTGATGTGTGCTGGACACTATTCATTATGGATTCTATTTTGAATGGTTGCAGAGACAGAGTCTCTGTGCACCTTCAAGGAGTGGGTACATATTTGTAAGTGGGTGCTGGTGGCTCTTTTTGTGGGTCCTTTGAGTTATTAAAATAATTTTGATTGGCAGGGATTTTATTTTTTTAGCCCACAAATTACAGACACTTAGCCCAATGGGGCTGAATGTCGATGTGGATCTAGTATGTTTTCTAGGCTAATAAATAGATAGGGGGCATCTATCTGGTTAGAAAAATACTTCCTTAGAATCTAGAGAGTAAAACTTTTAATGGTAGAACTTTGAAGGTAAAAGTAGGCTAAAAGAAAAAAGATTTGGTGAAGTTCCGTAAGACATATATGTAAATAATATTTTTTCATATTTCTCTTTTTTTTGGATTCGAAAATAGACAATAATACAACAATGTATTTAAAACAAGTACTTAAAAGGAGAAAAGTATAATATGCATATAAAAATAAGTTTACTTTCGGAAAATTATAGTTTTTTAGAAAGGAAGAATAAAAACACACAATAATAATTGTAAATGAACATAAAAAATATTATACAATTAGGAGGTAAGGGGTTAGTTGTAAGTTATATCATGGCTGTCAATTGTGATAACTAAAAATATTCATCAGTATACAATGTCCTGATTATATATATAATAAAAAAACATTGGATAGTGTGGATATAGCTGATAAAATATCTTCAATTTGAAGGAAAAATTTTTAAGGGGTTATTAATAATAATATACATCAAGGTTTAATATTAAAAATGGAATGAGAGGACAATAACAAAAGGACAATTGTAAGCTGATGAATTGAATGAAAAAGATTGCTGGAGGCATTTGTGATTTGAAAAAAAGAATACAAATCAATATATTGTTTCCTTTTATTTATCCTTTCTTTTATATGCTATGATATGGACTGGAATGTCATGTAAATTCATGACATTATCTCTGGCGACCACCAAAGGGCAATAATCCAAATATTGATCGCTGAATTTAATGGAATGCACGGCCATTTTTATCAAACTGCAGTGGAACGCACGGAAGTGCGCCGAACCGGAAGTGAAGTCCGGAAAGAAAATTGAATGAAATTAAAACAGCTGGAACCCCCTTTCAACTGCTGATAGGAAGCCCAATTAGAAGAAGATTATGTACAAACGCCCACCACACCACCAATGGACTCCCAGCTTGAGTATACTTAAGGGTATGAGGGGGAGGGGGAAATAGGCTCATTTGTACACTTGTTTATTTTTTGGCAGTGTATGTGATTGCATGTTTTAACTGTAGCAATTTAATATTTGGTCCCTGAGGAAGTTTCCTAAGGGAGACGAAACGCGTAGGACCAGAAATAGCATTTTATTGTTTTATTTTTATACTTTAAAGCCAATAAATTCCCTTTTTTTACTAACCATTGGGAGTGTGTGGACTTCCTAAATTTGGAATTGGTGTGGTAACCAAACAACAAGAGGAACCCCCCTGATTATAGGGGAGGCAACCTGAGTGCTTGAAAAAAACAATCAACTTGTGAGTGCAACCTTGAAACATGAAATGAATATCTAAATTGTAACTTTATTACACTATGCCGAATTTTATGTTTATATTTTAGTGATACAAGCTGGATCCCTGGTCGATTTGTATTTTGTAACTCCTGACACATTAGTTAATCCTCATACCGATGAGAGTTTTTTAAACGATTTGCCTGTAGATTGCTAGGCTGTCATTGGGCAAACCATCCTGATTTAAATAGACTGTGTTAAAAATGTGGTGAATCTATTTTGTGGATTTCCCTGGTTCCAAAACATTTTTGCATAAACAAGAAGTCATTCATTGTTCGAGTGAAATAAATATGAGCCTTGCAAATCTAGTGAAAATTCTATTATTGTTTTTTTTTTTATCAGTCCAAACCAAATTGGGTCCATAGAATATAACTCCAATAGAGTGGGTTATTTATTATTTAGATATTTTACTGAAATATTAGATGGAAAGTGTTCAAAGACAAACTTACTGATTGGTATGGATTTGTTTGCAAATTGGCTGTGGCAGAAAACTGTGTCAATATTCTCAAATTAACATATATGAAAAGATGCAAAGAAAAAATGAGATGATTAAAAGCAGTCAGACCTGGATAAGTGTTGCAACAAAAGTAAACACTGATTGCATTTATATAGTTGTTGAAAAAAATGATTTTCCATTCTACTGTCCTGTGAAACCTCTCAGCGGATAGACATACTTAACGTTTACTTTATATAAAAATGCATATTCAGAAATGTTCAAATATATGAATGACTTTCACTATATGTCATAATAAAATGTGTTCACTTCCAGACTTATGACAACACACTACAATTTCACAACAATTTATATTGATTGCAATATCTGTATTATTTTATCTTTAAAAAAACAACAGACAGTCTATTGGAATACAACTTAGATTTCAAAAGATACTTGAGTCGAATTATATTGTATTTTTCTGCGACAATTTTCATTAGATCCTTTCTTCAAAATGCAGAGCTTCTTCAAGCAGTAAAATTAACAACAGGCAGGTAAACATAAACTTTCTAGTTGTTACAGTCCTCTGTTTGATGTTAGCCAAATGAAATTGTCAACAAATAAAAAAATAACAGATTTGAGAAAAATAATATTAAATGATATCTAAATGCAATTTCAGACAGAAATTCATTCAAAGTCTGCTTTTTACTCCTATAAAAATTATTTGATGGATATTAAAAATGTTGTGATTAGCTGATCTTAGCATACGCCAACAGATGTATGATAAAAATAACTTTTGTAAATAACACACGGCAAGAAACGCTTCCATACTTTTTAGAGACTTGAACGGCTCATTGAAACAACACATGTCACAAGTTATTACAATCATATTGCTGAGTCCATCTGCTAAGACCAAAGATGAAGACCTGGTGCATTGGCTAGAGCTTTTTGGTTCGTTCAGACCTTAAATGACTTGGAATATTTTTTCAAAACAGAACATTTGCTGGTAATTTTCTACCTGAAAACTACCGGAGTGTTTAATTATTTATAATTTAACATGTTTTTGTAATATTGCTGTGACTGCAGGTAAATGGTCAAATTAGCTTATTTAAAAACAAAACTGTACAAAAATGTAAAATATGCAGTAGTAGTAATAGTTGGGAATTACTATATACAAAAAGTATATAAAATATTATATTGTTATGGGCATTTGCAAATATTACAAGTTTTTAAAATTAAAAATATTTCTTAAACTGTATACTTCATCTTTTGGAGATTTTGCAAACCAACAATTTGTTAGAAATGGAAAATATTGTCTTTCATGCAATGATTCTATAATAAATGACCTCTTACCCATATTCAGTGAATATGGTGTTCAGACTTTAGGATGCCATTTTGTCCTAGGTTAATGTAACAAGTCAGGGAATTTCCCATGTCATGTGTACCCTTAAGTTTTAGTCTAAACATAGATAAGATGTTCCCATATGTAATGATGATGCTATGGCCTTGTATCTTTGCCAAGTTAAGGTAGGTCCTACCATGACCTAATTGAAAATCTAAGGTCTAAATATGTGTGCTTATGAATATAAGCACACAGAGGAGATAATTTTGGATGCAGAGATGCTGCTCCATTTTATCATGACTGGGACGTTGACATGTTCAAGAGGGTATGTTATTCTAATTTATTGATATTGCAAGCATCTGCTTTAATCTTGTAAACTCTGCTATCAATTATTGTATTAGATCATTAAGGTTTTATAAGTCTATATTTATATTTTTATTTAATAAAATATTTAAAAAAAAACAAAAAACTTTATTGCTTCTGTGAAGAGAATAGACTTATTTTCGTAATTTTCTTCTTTTATTCGTTACTTTCCGTTGTATTCGTTTATTTGGGATTTATTGGTTCAGTAGATTAGACTACTGAACACCGACCACCCTCCTGGCTCATTACCTTCAAAGGGAACCGTCTATTAAGCGCTCTCTGGGCGGCCGCCATTCGTATATGCGAATGTCACGTGAAAGAGAAAACAGCGGCCATCTTGTTTGCACGAAAGGAGGCAGCGGGATTTGGTCATCGAGTGTCTGGAACTAAAATCGGACACTCGACTTCCCGAACCACCGCTGAAACATACGAACGCCTGCTTCCTTTCGTTGCCGAGCAGCTAGGAGAGCACCATTCGGTAGTTTGGTTCATATGAACACAGGGAGTAATCGCTCCTATGAGCCAGGAGGCTCCATTCATGCTTTTATTAATTTTAATGCTGTTTTCTGAATTGACCGACCACACACACTGAATTCGTGGAACTGTTTTGGGAAGGAGCCTCGTGTGCGGTTGGTGAACTAAGACTTCCATACTTTTTGAGAATCCCTGAACCGATCTGGGTGAAATTTGAATATGTTGGTCTCCCAGATCGGGGCTATCAGGGGACATGTAATTTGTGGGGATACCTTGTGTATAAAGGGGTGTTCCAAGTTTTGTGGAAATTGTGTGTCCTCGGCCTGGAGATAATTGGGTTATTCCTTAACTTATCTACAAATCTCCCAGGCAGAGGAAGGGAGGGTTTTACTGTAAAACTGTATTATGATTGGTTGTTCCTTTTGTTTACTGTGGGAGGTCCTCTTGCAGAAGGATTTCCATAAAAGCCAGTGTGTCATCAATAAAGATTATTCCTGTTGTACCCTTAATGAAGTCTAGGTTCACGCTTGGGGAATATTTTATTGGCTGGGAAGAATCATCTTGGAAGATGCATTCATCTACACTATTCCTGTACACCCTAACTGCAGTTATAATCACTTATGCTCAGCTATTGGGAAAGGAATAGAAGACCTCAGTACCATAACCACCGAAGGTCATAACAGCTTCCAAGGCAATCCCTATTTTATATTGTATTCTCAATTATTTATATATTTTAAATAGAGGAACTCTTACTAACTATAAAATATTATGGCTAAGATATTTGTACTGTTAGCCCTGCTAAATTCTATGTTTCAAGACTTTAAATTGGTAAATAGGGGAACCATCAGCGGTTACAATATATGTATATAATATTATATACTAAGAGAATTGTGGTAGGGAAAAAAGTGCGAATGAAAACTCCTTCCACCTGAAGTAGGTGGATAGTTAATACATTGATAAACACATATACACACATAAGTTAAGCAATAAGACTTGCTTTTCCCACAGAAATCTCACTTTAACAGTACTCTCACTACTGCAAGGGATTCTGGGTAGGCATATTACATAGTTACATAGCTGAAAAGAGACTTGCGTCCATCAAGTTATGCCTTCCTCACATTTGTTTTTTGCTGTTGATCCAAAAGAAGGCAAAAAAAACAGTTTGAAACACTATTTTGCAACAAGCTAGGAAAAAAAAAATCCTTCTTGACCCCAGAATGGCAGTCAGATTTATCCTTGGATCAAGCAGTTATTACCCTACATTACCCTCATTTGCAAATGAGCTCAACAAAGAACTACATTTTGCCTTATAATTCCACTTTATATATGGATTCCTTGGAGTATGAGTCTGCTGTATACAACAGCTTTGAAACACAACTCAGGAAGGGGTTTTCATCCACACTTTTTCCCCCTCCACAACTGTTTTGGTATGTACTTTACAAGTAACGCCAAGCCTCCATAGCAAGCCAGTAACCAACCTCATGCTGATGATTTGCATTAACAACGAAACAGCTGTCCATGAGTGGTTCACTGGCTTTGATCCTCTTTATGAGTTGTATTTCAAAGCTGTTGTATACAGCAGACACATACTCTAAGAAATCCATGAATAAAGTGGAATTGAGGCAAAAATGTGGTTCTTTGTTGAGCTCATTTGCATACACCTACCCAGAATCCCTTGCAGTAGTGAGAGCACTGTTAAAGTGAAATTTCTGTGGGTAAAGCAAGTCTTATGGCTTGCCTGGTGTATGTATTTGTGTTTAGCAATGTATTAACTATACTATTATATATATATATATATATATATATAAATATATATATATATATATATATATATATATATATTTAGTGGATAAGTGAGTGTGCTGGAACTTGTGTATCGTGTATATATATATTGTATTTTGTATATATATATATATATATATATATATAATGAACAAAAGAAAAACCGTTTAAGACGAAAATTGTTTATTGAAGCTTCAGTGCGTAGGCTAAAATCCACAGGATTCCATCAATGAAGATTGCCTGCTATGAGTAATTGCCTAAATATCTGATTTCCCTTGCTTTCCAATACCTTAACACACTTTAGCCTTTAATAAACTCAATACACACAATCACAAGCATTGGGCATATTGTAGTAGCTACTTAACAGAGCTAACAGAGTAAATGGCACGCTTGAAATGTGTCATAAAGAAACATCTGGGCAAGACAGCTAACAGACCGGTCTCTAACAGTAATTTTTAATTTCATTATTGATAAAGCTAAAAAACGTTTTGTATAC